GACTTTTGGGTTATGTTAAAGAGAGGTGGGGCTCCTATCTTTTAGAGAACCAACCTAAAGTAATTATGGAAAAAGCTCCATCTTACATCTGGTTAAACCAATCCAATGGTGGGATAAGGATAACAGATGGTATAAAATAGATTATGGCTTGATACAATATTAAAGCTGGGTGATGGGTACATGAGATCCATTAAACTCTCCCCTTTTGTAAATATTTAAAATTTTCCAAGACAAAAGGTTTTAAAAGGTTGATTGGTTACTAAGCTAAGAGTATATTCATACTGATTGCTAAACATCAATTGAAAATTGAAAATAAGGGATCACCATAATTTACAAACCCCCTACCAACTGGTTTCCATAGGTAGAAAAAGGGGAAAAAGCATTAACTATCAATTTATTACCAAGTACAAAAATCCTTAGAATTCTGACATTAATAAAATTAATAAACTAATGAGATGAAATAACTCACAACTTCACTTCATTACATAACTCTTAAGAATTCTCAACAAAATGTAATACTTACCTAAGATTTTAAAGTGAAAAATAAAACTACAAGAAAGCAAAGGCATCACCATAGCAGTTAAGTAATGTTGCCTTTGAATAAAGAAAGTTGATAAAAGACTAAGATAAATAAAAATTGTAATAAAAAAATACATGACTAATGGTGTTATTTTTCTCTAAGGAATTACTTTATTTCTCTGACATATTATATGGAAGTCGGACTGAATAAAATTCCAGTACTGCCCTAAACATTTCTCGAACAAATATTTACTTTGTTAATACAAAGACATTAAACTTTAGAGTCACTAGAGTTTCTTTGGTGTCTAAGGCAAAAAGGGTGTCCAATAGCTTTGGTATTTAAATAATGTAACTAAAATTAAATTTTTAATAGGTGATAAGGTAAAAATAAAACATAAGAGCATAAAAATAAACAATATTGATATTCTAGAAAAAAACTATATGTAATTAGTAGAAAAAAATTTTGGACAAGATATGCTCTAGACCCTGATGCTACTTTGGAAAGGACAATACTCTAGGTCTGAGAAAGAATCCTTGACTTTCAGCAAACTATTAACCATAATAGACCACATTTTCAAGCAGGCATGACATGTGATAAAGTTTTAGTGAAAGTGTTTTGTTTCAAATCTCCTGAAGAGACAATGTACAATTATGTACAACCTCAAGAATGGGAAATTACACTCCATCTATGTATAATATGTCAAAATACACTCTACTGTCATATATATCTAAAAAAACAAATTAAAAATTAAATTAATATAAAAAAAGAAGTTCACGGGACTGGAATAAGAGTAAACAGAGAAAGAACAATTGAAATGACATTGTCAACAGGCAGAAGTTAGGGACAGTATGGGCAAATTCCTGAATGAGTTGAGGTAATTCACTTCTCTCTTCTCAGCAAGGAAAGGCCAATGGAAGTTTTCAAGCAAGAAACTATTTAAGGTACTTTTAGGACTATAATCAGTTCAGTATTGGTAAATGTTCAAAAACCGGCTCACAGAAAAAGAAATACATTACACTATTATTATATTCAATTTCCACCATACAAACACAAGAGATGTAAGAGTAAAGCTCAAGATAATATTAAAATGTAATAAAATAAGCAGCTCAGGAGCCTGAGGCAGAAGGAATGTGAGTTCAAAGCCAGCCTCAGCAATGGCAAGGCACTAAGCAACTCAGTGAGACCCTGTCTCTAAATAAATATAAAATAGGGCTGGGAATATAGCTCAGTGATTGAGGCCCGAATTCAATCCCCAGTACCAAAAAAAAAAAAAAAAGAAATGTAATAAAATAATTAGAAGGTGAAAAAAAGAGAGAGAGAAACAATGTGCATGCCTTTTGTCTATTTTTCTTTGCACTCTAAACATTCTGCTGTAGAATGGCCAGAATTCTACCAGCCATCTTGAAAATAAAACATTATTTGTTTAAACAACAATTATTTCAGGTTTTTCTGTAATTTGAAAACAAACAATCCTAATAATACAAAACCATATTCCTAATATTACCTTAAGATTTAAAGAGTTACTCAACAATAAATAAAGAAAAAGAAAATGCTAGAAGGAAAAGCAACATACAAAGTAAGAAAAAACACATTAAGTATTTCTACATTTTCCTCCTAACTTCTAAGAATGAGAGAAAGGAGTTCAATGTCTTAGGGTCTTTTTTCTCTAATACAGGTAGTTAGCATGTTCAGTCTAGATTTAAGCACCTACCATGTGCCATGTACTAAGGTACCTGAATACCGAAAAAGATTCCTATTTCAATAAAACTGAAAGGTGAAAGGAAGCAGATATTTGATTCAATGGGGGAAAAATACACAAAATGCTTAGCTATTCTTCCACTGAAATACCTTATCACTATCAAAAATATAAAGGAACTATAATTAAATTCTTCTTTTAGAATTAAGGTTCTGAATGAAAACCAGAATAATTTATTATTTGTTGCAACTATATCAACTGTTTCTGTGAAATTAATTTGTGAAGAGTATTTTTTTGCATTTTATGTAAATTTTTTTGTGAAAAGAATATTTTATCCATGTTTTAATCTCCTATGGGAAAAAATTTCTTGATATGTTCCCAACAACTTCAAACCTATTTTTATAGAATGAGGCTGAACACTGAAATGACCCTGACAAAGCGGGTTTTGGTGAGAAATTTACTGAAGGAACTTAAAAGCTTAAGTGAACTGAGAGGCACAAAGATAATCCAGTCATAAAGAAATTATTGATCAGTCAACCAAAGGAACTAAAAATTTTAGTATCTAAATAAAACATAGGAAACCAGATTATGAAAGGGCCAGAGTAATTTCTAAATCTGCCCAATATCAGTAAGAACACATCTCTACTTCATAACCACTTAAAAGCGTTTGTGAAGATGATAGGAAAGTTAACATACATGAGCACAAGATGAATACCTGCAAAACGATAGAGGTATGACAGATGCCAGAGCCACACTTCAAATCAGAAGGAAATAATGAAAAAATAAGCTGAGAGAGTACCAAAGAAGAAGTCGCCTAAGGGCAGAAAAGCAAATTAACTTAAGAACAGAAGAACAAGTCACCCACTCCTGGTGTTTATGCACTGAAGTCTACTACCAAATGATTTGGAAAATAATGGCTTTAGTACTTTACAATTGATCTCTACAGATCACAAGTTATCACATACCTAATTTTACATGAAAGAAGTAGCTTAGGCACCTCAAATATCACAAAGTGATTTTTAACACAGTGATACCTTCAATGTATTATATATGTTAAAAGCAATATAGTCTTGTTTTAATAATCACACTTTAATCATGGCATAATATTTATTATATGTTTTTATATATTCCTCATCTTAAATTATGTCATAAGTTTGGCATGTGTGCTGATTGTGTCACAACTGTATTATGGTTTATATATGAACATTTTGCTACAGTTTCTTTATATTGCAATACATTATGTATCATTATGGTATAAACCACTTTGTGATATTTGAGATGCCTAAGACACCTCTTTCATGTAAAAATTAGGTATGTAGTAACTCTTGATCTGTAGAGATCAATTAGGAAAGTACTAAAGCCATCATTTTCCAAATCATTTGTCAGTATACATCAGTGCACAGGAAAAACATCTATGATGGGGTATATTTCTCTCATACACACATAATTTTCCAGGGGATTCAAAAATGGTTATTATTATTATTTTTGTACTGAGGATTTAACCAATGGGCACTGAGCTATATCCCTAGTACTTTTTATTTTTTTATTTTGAGACAGGGTCTGGTTAAGTTGCTGAGAGTTTCAGTAAATTGCTAATGCTGGCCTCAAAATTGCTGATTGCAATTCTTCTGTCTCAGCCTCCATAGTTACTTTGGTTACAGGCATGTGCCACCATGACTGGCTTCAAAATAGTTATTAAATATAACAAGATTTAATTGTCAATATACCTTTGACACCCAACTTGTGATGAAAGCAAAAATCTTTATAATCTGTTGATTACTTAGTATTGTTTATAAAAGTGAATTGATTATTCAATTGAAAAGCATAGTTTTTCATATGAAAATATAGATGTCAAAAACCTGATGACAGAATCCAAGGTCATTATTCAACCTCAATACAAATAAAGATCAAAGACAATTCTCTTTGAAAGTGAACCTTAAAGGATAGAGACTAAGTCTGTTTAATCAGTAGAAAATAAAGCATAAATGGCAAAGGTTCTTAATCTGGGGTCCAAGATCTATTTCAGAAAACCCAAGAACCACCAGGCTTTATGTAAAATTCTGAGTATTGGCTTTCATCAGATTCTCAAATGAGTATAAATCTAAAGATGAGTTAGTAGAAGTGTGATGATCTTATTTAGCAGAATAATTTCACAAGATCTTAAGTTATTCAACAGCAAAAACCTAAGTAATAGCAACTTCATTTCCATAGTTACACTGAATTTTCCTCTTTCCAAGGAGGAAATATAGTAGGGGGCGGGAAAAAGCTGACACCAAAAACCATCAACTCTATAGAGGTTTCCAGAAAACTATATGGGATTTCTACCCAGTTAGGACCAAAGGGAAATCATGAGACAGTTTCAGCATTAAAGAGAAAAAGAGAATGGCACACATTTTCCTGGACATCCCAGTACTCCCTCTCAGAATCTTCAGGGTGAAATCCAAATGCCACTCCCCCAGGGAGAGTCAGGTTTCTCCCAATACCAAGTAGGCAAAGCTAAGGTGAGCTGATTCAGAAACGAAATACTCTCTCCATCTGCCAAAACGAGTAGGGGGCTTGTTCATCTTGTCTGACCATATGGGACAGGAAGGAGGTTGCATGATAGGACCTGAAAATTAGGACAGGCGGCCCTAACATATTGATATGGGTTGTGAAAAAGCAACAGAGGTGGTGGCAAAGGTAAAACCTGAACCTCCCGGTGAGGAGCTACGTGGCACTAAGCAAATAGTGCCTGGTCTTCCTCCACCTTTTGCTTCCGCCCCAACCATTTTCCCCTTTGGTTACCAGTTGCTCCAGATGCCATAGAGTAGTTCCACAAAAGCGAAAGAGAGGTTCAGGCACAGGAAGAAAAACAGGTTCCGGGACGTCTTGTCCGACAGGATAGACCTGGGCATGATAAATCGGGAAGAGATTAAGAGAGTCGAGGGGGTGCCGGGACCCCGAGTTGCGGTCCTTCTTTCAAGACCTTCCCAGTCCACACAGTCTTTTCCCCACAGCGGGAGGCTGAGGGAGTGTCCCTAACACTCCCTCTCTAGACCCTGGACCATCTTTAGGTCTGGGCTTTCCTTCTGCTGGACACCCCCTCCCAGCAAAACAGAACCCCGCACCTAAACCAGCCCGAGATCTTGACGAACAGATTGAACTTGGGTGGTTTGTATTCATCATCCTTGATGGACAGGGGCAACATCTTCTCTGCCCGGCGGAGGGCCGGGCCTACTCCCCTCGACAAGTGGCTCCGTGGGGTGATGGCAGTGACAGCGGTGACGCCTCAGACCGGAACCCCCAGCACCAGCCTGGGGCCGCGCGTGGCTGCGAGACACAGACAGACACAGACAGACACAGACACACACCCTGGAACTAGCTGACTTCCGGCCCGGGCCGCGCAACGCGTCCTGGGATGGAAAAGGGGGTGGGCGGGGCTGTGGCCGGGGCTTCCCGGCGGAGGGCGGGGCTTACGGCGGGGCGGGGCGGAGGCTGAGGAAGGTTGAGGAAAGAAGTGCAGCTATGGCGGGATCTGCGCAGCTCATCCCGGCGAGGTCCCACTACCTGAATTCACGCAGAATATTCTGACGTGGCGACATTTGCAGACTAGCTAGCTGAGAGCTTGAGCCCGCTCACTCCTACCCCTACCGCCTACGACCAATGTTCCCGGATGCACTGAGTCCAGCGCCTGCCCCTTCGCCATTAACCCTCTCTGGGCATTGTTAGGTCCTGGTGCAGTAGGTAGCAATGCTTTAGAATCCGGGCGGCCACGTGTTCTCCCGCCCGTGCGCAGGAAGCCCAAGTGATGGCTTTGCCGGGTGAACGCTGTGAACACCTAAATCCTTGTAATCCCCCCCTTCCCCGAAAACAGCGCCTGCCCCTCCTGTGCTGTCACGCGGAAGGCGGCCTTCCCGAAGGACTTGAAGGTACTTAAAAAGAGCCCTTTACAAAGAGGTCACACTAAGTTGAGATTTGGCTAAAGCGTTGCTTCCCCGACGGTCTATGTCCGCTGACACCCTGAAACTCTGTAATTCGTACACGTCCCTTTCGCTTCCAGGTCATCCCCGGGGCAGCAACCTGCCACTATGATTCTTATCAGAACCTCGCTGCCAGTTTGGGGGAAGTCCAGTAAGAAGCCGGCTCGGCGGGGCACAGGGGTGTGCAGGGCACCAGGAGGCGAGCCCAGCGGGCCTTGGCAGGGCAGACTAGACCGCGGGACGCCTTTCCGGGAAATTGTTTGGATAAAGTCAGGTGGTCTGTCACGTGAATGATTAAAAGTTGTTACCTTGCAGAAGAAATGGGAAGGGATGGAGGAAAGAACTAGCTTTTGGAGTTGGGCTGGAAACTACAAAACCGAGCTTCTTGGGAATTCCTTTTAGTCTAACAGGAAGTGGAGCGTCACCGAATGGGAGGGGTGGCCACTCCGTGACTGTCCCCTGCTTCAGGCGCTCACTTTGCAGGCGGCGCTTTTCCCGGGTTATAAATCCAACGAATGATGCACGCTGCTTGGTTTAGGAAAAAGAAAAAAACAAAAATGAGCAAGCGAGACGCCCCTTCCGTTTTATGCTAACCCAGCTGCAAGCAAATAAATTGGTTCCCCCACTGCAATCTTCTGCGCTCAGGTGAGGAGACAGCAAAATACTCTCGCGTTACAATTTTTTTTTTTTTTTTGCAGGATATATGCATGTTTGCTCCCGTTCTTGGAACTTTCCATATGAGGGATACTAATTCTCTAGTTTGATTTTTGAAAAATGTAGGTATTCTGCATTTTTAAAAAACGTTGATGTTTTCAAGATGCTGTGTAATAACTGCTAGGTTCCACAAATTAAGTTCTGGGAAGAGTATTTTGTCTTTGCCTATCTTAGCGTCTGTTTCATTATTTTAATTTAAACATAAAAATATTTTCAATTAGTAACATTTACTTTTTTAGGAAGCTTTTATATTTGTAATAGTTTTGTCATGCTGCTGGGGAAACCTTCATTGGGTGCAAACTAGGAAGTTCAATGATAAATATTTTCCTTGAAATAGAATTTTTTCTTCAAAAGTGCTTTATTTCAGTACTGTTTAAGGGAAGGGATGTAGAAATAATCAAATTTCGGTAACCAATTTCTAGCATTCTCTTACCAAGGTCAGTAGCAATTTGAGCCTGTTTTTGTTTTCTGCCTTTGAAAATTAATTCTGCATTGTACATTGTACTGGTACAAATGTGAAATTTCTCAGCAGATTTATGGAGAAATCTACATTACCCTTTTGAGACAGTTTTGAAATATGTTGGAAAAATTGAAGCTTATTTTCAGTTGCATCAATTTCTAGAGACTCTTGAATTTCCCTCTCTCTACCCCAAATATATAAGCAAGGTATTACCGTGTGGACCTTCTTCTTTCAAAAAAATTTTAATGCTACTTCACAGCTTTCAGTCTTGAACAGCATAATGGCCAAATTCAATATGAAAGGAATTTTTATGTGCAAATAAAAGTGTAGGTGGACACTGTTTAAATTAGGAAAAGTTCTATGAGTGGAAAATATTCCACTGTGCCTTACTTCATTATCTTGAAATAATATTTGTCCCACACATGTTAACCTATATATGTTGTCGTGTCAGAAGTCATTTAATGACTATTTACTATATGCCAGATTCTGTGCTTGGCTTGGGAATACAAAGCCTGGTAAGGTAAAGTTCTTTCCCTGGAAGAATTTTTATGGAGAGGAGAAGTTGAAGTGAAGAGAAGGATAAATCAATCAGTCTAGTATTTTAGAACTGTGTGATGTGTAAGTTGTACACATGAGATGCTCTTTGAGCAATGAGGATGAGTATCTGTCACTCAGTCAATCTTTTTGTGTAGCCTAATCCATTCCTTTTCCCCTGTAATAATAATAATTTTGTTATGCAAGAACATGACTTTGGAAAATAAAAAATGATTCGTTAGCTCTATTTAGGTGGTCAGTGTCTTGCAAGTCTCCAATCAGGTATAGTATTCTAAAGTCTACAGTTAGAATTCTTAGTTTCTTCATGTTACAAGATTAAGTGGATATATAAGATCATAAAGTAGATGTAGTAATGAATATTTTAAAACTAATAAATGCATTTTTACTAAGAACTTCTTAAATATTTGTTTATATCATCAACAAAGTACAGTAGGTTAACTATGCATATTCTATGGGAGACATGAAGACCGAGAAATGAAAACAGAGAGAATTAAGGGGCAAGAGTTCCTCTCCCACCATGGTTTCTTCTTTGCAGCAACAACCAGCAAGAATGGGACAGATGCCATCTCTTATCCTCATTCATCTATCCTGGCAACACTATTTTAGACTTCATAATTTTTTAGGTGAATCAAATCGAATGCCCTATGAATTGCTGGTGAAAACAGGAATTATAATAGTGTATTAGAGTAGAGAGATTTGTAAATCCAGAAATTGAATAAAAATGCAAATTTCTCATGTTAAGAAATTTGTAATGTTTTGAACAACCAACAATAAAAAATTAAAAAAAAATCATAGAAGATGATTTAAATAGAAATGTGATGAGTATATGTCAAAATTTTACATGTTTTTGCCATAGTAAATGTTTGGCCTAAAATGTAAAAAAAAAAAGAAGTTTTACTCTATGGCATATATGCTCTAGTGTCAGATGTATAAGCATAAATGCTCAGAATGATGTTAGTTTTTTCTGCTTCTGGACCTTGGAGAAAAATGAAAACAAAAATGTAGCATTTTTAGTGTCAATCAACAGGAAGCCATTTTCTGCCTCATGTAATTTTTAGGACACAGAATAGCAAATTATAATTTACAAATAATTCAGATACTATGGACATTGCTATTAAAAGCAGTGCTATTTTTTTCATTTTCTGCTGATTAACAAAATATCACAGAAAACTCTTTTCTTTCTCTTAGTAGTGCCAAGGGAGCTTATTCCTATCAATCACTGAAGCCATAAAAAAGTTTTTTAAAAAGCTAATCACACAATGAGGTAAGTAGCATGTTTTTTTCCTTTTTCTTTTTGAAAGTATGTACTTTATACCACTCAGTACCATTAAGTGTTTTTACATTGCTCTGTCACTAATCTTCAGAACTTTTTCATCTTGTAAAACTAAAATATATATATATCTATTAAACAACAACTATCCATTATCCTCTACCTCCATCCCCTGGCAAGTATAGTCTGCTATCTCTTTCCATGAATTTGACTCTCCTGAATACCTCATCTGTGTGGAATCATACAATATCTGCCTTCTTTGTGACTGGGCCAGTTTCACATAGCATAATGTTTTCATGTTTAACATAAACATGTTTATGCATGTTTAGCATGTACCAGAATTCCCTTTCTTTTTAAGTCCAATATTTCATCAGATATATATATATATATATATATATATATATATACACACACACATATACCACATTTTCTGAACGGATTATACATTTATTGGTAGACATTTGGGTTGTTTCTGCCTTTTGCTGTTGCTGATGATGCTGCTATGAAAGTAGGTAAAGTAGAAGAATTTTTAATCTGCAAAAGATTATTTTCAATAAAGATATTTTGGTTTCCTTGAAGATAAAAGTTCCTACTTGAACCAGCCAGTGTCTGTTAGAAAATTCTAGAAGGCCTTCTTCAGAATAGATACATTGAAATACTACTCCAGAATGCCTTCTTCAGAATAGATACATTGAAATACTACTCCAGAATGCCTTTTTCAGAATAGATACATTGAAATACTACTCCAGATTATAGATTGAAGTCAATAGTCATATTCTTTATGTATGTGTGCTGTGGATGGAACCTATGGCCTCATGCTTGCTAAGTATGCACTGTACCTCTAAGCTATATACCCCCAGCCCCAATACCTGTAAGTTTGAAATATCCTTGTAAACTAGAATGAAGTTGAAAATAGACCTTACAGATGACAAAGATAATTCAAAGTGGCTCAAGCACAGAAGTCAGGAGTTTGGTTCTGACCTACCACTCTTTCTGTGGCTCAGGAAATTTATTTAATATTCTCACCCTCACATGTCCCATCTACAAAATAGAATGGATATATTTTATTTCTCTTCTTACTAAAAATTTGAAACATTGCCAATCTGAGGTATTGTATAATATGAAGAAAGGACAACTATAACAACTTTCTTTACTATTGCTAAGCTCAGTGAGGTAAGGAACTACACCTACCTGTTCATGGTACCTGACATGCTGGACATATGGTATGTGATAATTGATGCAGCACCATGGATGTTTGACTTTTCCCTAAGAACATGAGAAAACTCACATTGATTGGGATTGCTTCTACCTCAAATTTGAAATCTGAAAATATTTATAAGTCATAATTCATTTATATGAAATCTGTTTCTCTTAGAGAAGTGATTTTGGAAGTGCTGAAAATCAGTGTTGAGTAAAAAGGAGAGGTTCCATAGAATATTCCAAGGATCTATTGCCTAACTATCTTGCCCCCCCCCCCACTTCCCTGTGTCTAAAACAGATAGAGATTCAAATGAAAACCTCCAGTATCCTAGAATGGGAAAAGTAATATGTTTGCAGATATGGTTGCAACCATATCTGCAAACCAACCATATCTGCAAACATATTACTTTTCCCATTCTATACTAAGCTAAAGATATCTGCAAACATATTACTTTTCCCATTCTATACTAAGCTAAAGATGCTTTATCCATTTCTAGTTTTCTTCCTAGGATACATTGACTCCTTTGATTCTTACAAGTCATTGGTATACCTCTTAGTAATAAGGCCACCCTTAATCCTGGGCAGGTAGTTGTCTGTGGAATTGATCATCTCCAAGCATCATCATCATCATCATCATTATCATCAGGAGCAACAATTAATTGGCAATTCAGGAGGAAGGTGCAAGGCTGGAAAGAAATTTCTTCTCACAAAATTCATATCTGTGCATTTCACAAATAGGGAGGACTTTATTGTCTACCTCAGTAACAAATGACTGGATTGAAGGAAGCAGGTGATACTTTAAAAATATTACACATAATGTTTACGTGTTATTTCCCCTTTATCAATGATAGTAAAGCACACTCCAATGAATTGATAATGTTGAAAGAATATGATAGTATGTATAGAAAAGGGAAGAGGAAAAATAGAAAATATCAGAACTGATGAGCAGCTTTCACCATGGATAAGGGGGTGAGATCAGGAAGGGAATTGGAAACAGGCTTTTATTTACTGATATCCCTATTCTAAATGATGCCCTTGTTATCCATCCTAACCTGATTTTTCCATAAAGAAATGGCCCAGTCAACCTGGCTGCCAGCAGGAGGACTTAATAGGTAGTATAATCAGTACAAAAATGCTTTTTTCATAGCTTTTACTGAGAAATGAACGTTGCAGTAGCATCTATGTATTCAAATGTGATGCTGTGATAAATGTAGCTATTTCTCAATATGTTTTAGTAATTCTTTTTCAGAACTGTAGTTTCAAAAATGTAGTAAAGGCAGAACTAAGCCTTTGAAATATAGGGTTTTTTAATAGTTATCAATCATTTTACATACATATATATGATTAGTTATACTGTACATAGGAAAGGCAGATTACTTAATAGTCTATAATACAGTTGCTGTAGATTATGAAGATCCATTCATATCATTGTATAATTTCTTATTCTTTTCATATATACATGACAGTAGAGTGATCACTGTATAATTAATTGATCATAAATACAAGATCACAAGATGAATCTGTGATACTACACGGATCCTTTTTTTATCATTATAAGGCTATTCCTATTCCTGCTTTTCCTACTGTACTTGTTGTTAACACAAAACAATTTAAATTATTTTGATGTATTTAGACTCACACAAAAAAAAAGTAACAGGAATTAAGAATCTTGTAAGAGTAGATGGGCTCTTTAGGAGAAAAAAGTGAAATGAAATCGTTTAGGAAGGAGAGGATAGAATTCAGACAGAATTGGTAGAAAATGAGAAGAACCATATGGCATTTATAAAATAACGATGAAAGAAACAAATTTCCTGAATATGGGTAAAATTCTTAAGTTAAAAACTTTTTGCAGAATACTGTATAGCACCTTGGGAAAAACCATGAAGTAAAGTGACCTTTCATGTTCTCTTTCTGGCATTTTATATTGTACAGTTACATAAATTCTAGTTTATGCTGCTTAAATTTTAATGGAAAAGGCTTACTCTGGCCAATAGTGAACTTAGTTTTTCTCTTTCTGCCAGCCATCCAATGTCTATAGCTTATGTCACTTTGAGAACCCAAACTAAATTTTCTTTTAAAAAAAAATCTTTATTTATTTATTTTTATGTGGTGCTGAGGATCGAACCCAATACCTCACACATGCAAGGCAAGTGCTCTACCACTGAGCTACAGTCCCAGCCCTGCAAACTAAATTTTCATTTGTCAAATAGGTGAGACTTTATCTGTTAAATCAGGTATGTTGCCTACCTTATTAAATAATATATATTTTGATGATTGTTGCCGCCTAAACCTCCCTTAGGAGTTTTACAAGGAGGATGTTGTCCAACAAATGATGGTTTCCCCCTAAGGCAGATGAGTTCATCAAGAGTTTCCACAGAAACAGGAATATCCAAAGATATTTCAATGCAGAATATCTTTGGAAAGATGTGAAAAAAAATCAGAGATTGGAGACATCTTTTATTTATGAAGTACATTGGCCGAAGAACTGAAAGTAGAAAAGTGACCTATATGTTGTGGGCTTAAGGTCACATTTCAAGACTGGCTGTCCTATTACCATATGGGTGGTGACCCTGGTTTTTTACACAGGGAAAGATTTCTCGTGTGTTGTCTAGTCTTAATTGGACTTAATTTGCATTTAATTTGAGTTTATTCTGTTCAAGTTTTAGGCACCATTTTAAAGGTTAGGGGAATTTGAACATTAAGTCCCTCTCCCCATTCAACTGGCAAGAGTTATGAGCACTTACACACACACAAAAAAATGATCCAGACAGTGTTCTGGATTATTATGACTGCCATAACTCCCTCAGGAGGCATTTAGATTGAAAAAGAAGCTTGAGGCACAGCTGTGATGCTTGGAAGCAAGATCTAGCAGCACTGTGTTCAGAGTTCACAGGAGCATGGAGGAAGGATTGCAGCAAGGGCAACTTTCATAGCAGAGGTGATGCTTGAAAGGGATGTAGTGTGGGGCTTGTCGGATGGAGAGAAGGAGAGGCTTTGTAGATAGAGAAAACAGCATGTGCCAGTACAGGGAGTCATGGAATAGTTTGCTGTATACAGTACTGGTAAGAGGAAAGGCATTTTGGAATTCAGTATTTGTGCCCTCTTTTTCAGTTTGAACAGTGTCATGCACATAATAAACCTGGCCAGAAATTGTTCATCAGTTGTACAAGTGTCTCTTCCAAATCTCATCTTACATGCTCATAGACGGAAAATCCAGGTTCTGAATTGACCTTTGCAGTCCACCTTGGAGTGATTTTATTTCTTGATAGCTTCAGGCCCTTTTCTGAGAATCTATATTCTATAATCATGGGTTTTTAAGCAAGTACATACCCTAGAGAATGAGCCAGAGGAGAAGCAATCTGTATGGTTTCAGACAAATCTCACAGTGAAATGGTAGCATAGTTACCATTCTCCTACCATCTGTGACATAAAAATGAAAATAAAAGTTTCTCATTGTATGATGCCAAGCTGCTTATTGCAGTTCTACCTTACAAATTGAAGACAACTAATATTTGTTCATGCGTGCTCTGGCATATTCATTTACAAATTCTCTCTGGATAATTATTGTTCTTCCAGTTTGAAGAGATTAGGCCTCAGGAAATAATTCTCAACAGTGCTCTATCTAGGAAACTTTGATAGATGATGTAGTAAATAATCAAATAGCAGATCTTTGATAATTCAAATTGCTGATTCATTTAAAGACTGTACAGGAGAGAATGCAACTATTGCTTCATAGACCATGTATTATTTACTTTCTTACTTGACCTTATGTTCATGTTTAAGAAAAAATCTTTATAATTTCAGATAATGCTTCAGTTCTCAGATATTAAATATTTCTGACATAATGTCCCAACAGTTCCACTCCTCAGCATATATCCAAGAGAAATGATAACAATTTAACATAAAAATGTGTACATGAGTATTCATAGCACCAAATTCATAGTAGCCAAAGTGTAGGAATAACCCAAATGTCCAGCAACTGATGAACAGGTAAACAAAATGTGATGTGTCCATAGAATGGAATATTATTTGACAATTTAAAAAAAAAAGAATGAGATACTGGTAAATGCTACAACATGTATAAATTTTGAAAAAACTTGAAAATGCTTTTGCTAAGTGAAATAAGTCAGATATAAAGGGTATATATTATATGATTCTATTCATATGAAATGTCTAGAATTGGCAAACCCATTGAGACAGAAAGTAAATTAGTGGTTTCCTGGGGCTAGGGGAGAGTTTGGGGATTGGTATTAATAGAAAGGGAAGTGATTGCTAATGGGCCTGGGTTCCTTTTTTGGGATATTGGAAATGCTTTAAAATTAAATTATAGAGATATTTCCAAAACTCCATGGGTATATTAAAAGCCAGTGAACTGTATACTTTAGTGGGGTGAATTTCATTAAAACTGTAAAAGAATTCCAACATACCAAGTGACAAGTACCTTAGTGACAGTCTGATATATTAGTTTTTTGATACATTCTTGCAGAATTTACTATAGCATTGTGAAAGTGTCATGGACTGTACCATCAGGAAATTCTTGCCCTGGCTCTGTGACTGACAGGTCAAAAGCAGCTTCATGACCTTAGGCAAGATCCTTATCCCTGGACCCTGAGTTCTTACTGTAAAACAGGAAGCTGGATTAGGTAGCCGTGAGCTATCTTCCAGCTGCCTGAATTTATATGTTTGTTCAGTGAGTCATGTAATTATTGGGGCAGTTTTAGAGACATGGCTTTGCACCCTTATTGTTTGAGTATAACAAATAGCAGTGGGGTTTTCGGATGCTACTTGTCTGGTAGTCCTCCCCATCATGTTCAAGTACATCTTCTTAGTAACTAGTATGTAGAGCAGGGTTTTTCAACCTTATCATTATCTGAATATTAAGGCAGATAATTCTTTGCTGTGGGATTATAGGATGTTTAGCAGCATCCAGACCTCTACCCCATAGATAGCAATATCTCCCCTCCAGACTTTTCCATATGCCCTCTGGAAGGCAAATTGTCCCTGGTTGAAAACCTCTAGTGTGGAAGATGCTGGAATAACACTGCATAAAAAATAGCTAAAAGAATCTGTTCTCAACCTATAAAGGACTAGTAAACCAATATAGGTACAAATAATATTGTTAGGGGATCTTTGATTTTTCAGATAATAAATAGAAGAAAAATTTTTGTTTTACTGATATTTATAGTGTTTATCAAAGTTATATTTAATCTGTGGTCATGGGGATGAGAAATGGACAGAAAGATAATAGACTAAGAGCTATCCAATCCTCTTTGGAATGAGACAGGGTGTCAGTAAATATATAAAGACATAATTTTAAAAAGGAATATTTAGGAATCAAGATCAAGAGAACTGGGAGGCACCTACAGTTTCTTCTTGGTTCTTTATAGGTAAGACACAGGTTATACAGATATGCTGTCTCCCATCTCCCATATCTCACATTCAAAGCCCAAACCTCTGAATGGGATGATAGGTTCTTTCTCTAGAAAGGAAGAGAAGAAGGCTATAAACTATGAGGTCCGTATAGCCATAAAGTCATTACTACTTTCCAAACTATATTAAAGCTGCTTCTAATGTGCAGCTAGACATCAGCCTACTGCAGTGTGTCACTTGCAGTGCAGTCTGTAAAGTTCTCTCTTGCTTTTCCATACAAACTAAAAAGTTCATATAATTTTATTAGGCTGCATTATTTAAGGCAAAATGAAATATTTGCAGTGTTTCTAAAAATATAAGTTATTAATATCTTCTGAAACCTTTCTGATTGAGGTAAAGTAGGGGATTAAAAGTTCTCTGAGAGAGAAATTTTCTAGAGTGGGTAAAAGGAACAAACTTTGTTGCGTTCCTAGCAACTTAAACACTCAGACCTTTTGCCCACCCAGGGACACCATCTGTCACGTTGCACTCCACTAAAACACTCAGGGTCACTCCAGGGGAACTGGGCTGCGCAAAATAACCACACAAGAGACAGAAATACCTTTTTATTTGAGGGTGCTGTGACGGCTCTTCTAACCTTAGGGGTCTGCAGAGAGAGAGAGAGAGAGAGAGAGAGTCCTCAAGTGCTGACCCCTTTTATTGAGGAGAAGCTATTCAAATAAGGCAAGGGGATCAGTTTTCAAGGGGCTGAGTCTAACTTCATGATGTCTGCTGTCAGCAGATTGACTGACATCTAGGAAGGCCACACCCAAAGGAAGAGTAAGAGAAAGGAACACACAAAGGGTATTTCCATGGAACATTCTATCCTAAACAGGGCAAGGGGTAGTATCACAAAGGAACAGGTGAGTGTAGCTCTACCCACAGGGATGTAGGAAGGCACACCCACGCTTGAAGACACAGTACTCACCCTAAAGATCTGGGCTTTAGTCTGGGTTACCTAGGCAACCAGATCACAAGGTGGCAGACAATGCCACACCAATCAGAAGAGGAGACAAATGCTGGTCATGTACTATGTTGCCTCCCACAAAATTCCTACTTAAAATTGTAACTAAATGTGAAGTAATCCCTCGAGTGGCTTTGACATTGTATATTTACAATAGTCTTTAACAATTAATTTTTATTACTTTTTCTCTTCTAAATTGCCAGATAGTAAACTACCAATGTCGACATTAGAGACTAGACACTTCTGTATGCAGAAAGTGAAAGAAGATCTTGTTTTAGATACACTTCACTGCAGTTATCAAAGTGGTTCTTTCCCCAAGCATTTATATCTGGCCATTCTTATGTAGTACTGAAAATGTTTTATGGACCTGCTTTTGATTCAGTATTTAAAAAGTTTTAAAGGCCCTTGAATCAAGATTATTAATTCATATGGTTTGTCTTCGAATGACTATATTAACAATAAGTGTTGTTTTAGTAAAAGGGTATATAAGATGAAAATTTTGTACTCTAAAGCCTTAAATTAATGTCCTTGAAAAATAATCACAGTAAAGCTGAGTTTACTTCAGAAATAATTTTTTTGGTTCATATAATAGAGTGAGACCGTGAGAGGAAAGGAAACACAGACATTGCTTTTCTTAATAGAACAAACTACAGAAAAAGTCCAGGAGAGAATACCTCTAAAAGTTACTATAAAGGTAGCATTGCTTTTTCATTCTCAACTGTTAAAAAGTGAGAGCTGCTAGGACAATGACTATTGCCTTGTGCTTGTGAATAAGCCCTGCCTTTGTTTGCTCATGCCCTAGCATACTGTCACATCATGAAGACATTGTTATGTTGAGAATTCTTTCTTCTCATAAACTTCAAAGGGAGATGGTAAAGGCTTGGCCTGTGTGGTCTTGTCCTTCAACAATAGAGAAAATTTTGTACAGTTACAAAAGAATGTACAACATGAAACAGGATCATGGAATATGATGGCCACATTAACTCAACCACTACACAGTCTCCTTAGGGAAAAACAGAAGGTTAATTGGGCATTGTTTGGAAAGTAAAGTAAAATTTAGTTGGATATAATACTCAATTAGACAAGAGAGATGTTGACTATTCTTAGGATTGCCTGTGGCATCGTGGCCTAGAGGCAATTGCATAACTTCACCACGAGATGTGAAATCAAGAGCTTAGATATTTCTGTGCATGTATACATAGTGTGCTTTTCCAAGAAGATGGAGAGAACCAAAAATAAGATGTACAGAGGCAGTGTTATGCCAGGGAGAACAGTAACGGTAGCTCTGTGCCATCAGCATGGGTTAGCAGTGAGAAGTTGTTTTCAGCTTCATCATCTTTGTCGGTAAATGAGATATCTGTCTACAGCATAGCCTAAGAAGAAAAATGTTTCCAAAAGGAGCAAAAAGGGATAGACCTTGGATCAAAGTCATTAAGAATAATATATATCTCATGCCTTCTGATTTTAAGAAACCAATTTTTTTTTCTTAAAGATATTTTTAAAATGTTGATTAGAAACTCCTCATTGATTTATGGTTTCAGTCTTTTCATAAATAAAAATTTTTGAATTATTCATTTTTCTCACTTCTTGATTTTGTTCTTGCACAGAGTAGTAGAATAGATCTGTGAGTCCTAGTGTATAAGGACCAGCTACCATGGGACCAAAGTTAAAAGAGGCAGGCAGATCCAAGATTGCAGAGAGCACAGTTTATTGGGAGACTTAGGACAGAAGTGTGGTCTTCGGTGGAAGCAAGACCAGTTGGAGCCCTTCAATTTGGATCAGAATTGGGGGTGTATATATGGGTTAGTACAAAAGTAGTTTCATCCTAGCTGGAATGTACTTGGTTTATCTTTGGTTAACATCAAAGAGTCAGGCTCATCCTGGAGCCAGGTCCCTTTGTAAAGTTCCACCTAGTACTCTAAGGGTTTTGTTTATGGTTTGTTGGGAAACTGTGCAGGAAAAACTGACTAGGGCTATTCAGGGGAAATCATGATAGTTACAACTCAAGATGGCTGTAGTTATGTTAACCTAAATTCATACATTGCTAAAATGGATATGAATACTCCGTTGCTGAAATACAAAATAAGGACATACCTAAAAGGCTTACAGAGGCTTGTGGAGGAATAAATAGTCTGGAGTCAGAAGCAGAAATAGCAAAAGGATAAAAAAACAAATCATTGAAAAGACAACAATAGTGTTATAATGGGAGGCAGCAAACATAGAAATTAAATTGTATGAAAACCAGGAAATCAGTTCTGGATCTTTGTAAAATTGTCTGTGAGATTTAGATTTTATCATATATATAACTGAGATATCTGATTAGGTAAAAAAATTTAACGAATGAAGTAAATAAGCCACACTTACCTTTGTTCACTGCTCTTCTGTGGCTACCTCTTTAAGTCCTTTAAGTATCTGGAGGAAGATAGAAAGAATGCATAGCTGGGTATATAACACCTGTGCTCTGTATCGCAAGACAAGATGCTCAGGAAGCCTGAATTTGAATGGAGACAGGACACCGTAGCCCATATAATGAACAACAGCCTGGGCTCTAGGTGTCAATTTTCCTGACATAACTACTAGCTCTGCTACCTAAATCCCAGGGAAAATCCACTTTGGATTCTTTCACTCTCATCATGCAGACATACAATAGAACGGATCTCTTATTGAGACTTCTAAACCACTATCAGGCAGTGCCGCGTTATTTGGGGAAAGTTATTTAATCGATCTCTATAAAAATCTAAACTATAAGAAGAAGAAGAAGAAAAAATAAATCAGATTCCATGAGTCTCCTGATCAAAATCCTCCAGTTGCTTCCCATTGAGTGATTTTCTCCTCACTCAGGAGAAAATCCATATACATTATTAAGGCTGACAAGACCCCACATAACCTGGCCCTTGCTTATCATATCCCTCTGGTTTATAACTTTCTTCATTACCACTATCCTAAATTATCTTTTGAATTTGTCTACCTATCTCTCCCTGCTATCTCCTCTGCTACTGAGAGCAGACACCTTGTCTTATTCATTGCTATATCCACAGAATCTAGAACATTCCTTACACAGGGTGAGTGCTCAGTATCTATTTTGTTGAATAAATACATACTATGGCATATGAAGCACATTCTTGATATACAGGACCTGATAAGGAATAAACCCTCTGTAATTGTTTGCTGCTGCTATCACCATTATCTTCTGCTTTAAGTATGTTCCATATATCATTTTATTTGAAAAAAAATCTGTTGCCAAAATACAAGTTTAAAATGATTGAATTACTGGAGGAAATACAATCTCTTTTAAAAATAATTTCAGATCTAGATTGTTAGGAAAAAAATTTAAATGCCCAGTTATTATTTGAGGTATATATGATTTTTGTCTACAACTACCAAAAAAAAAGCAAGACCAAAAGGAAAAGAATATTAGACTGTATTTTTTATCTCACAGGCTAACTTAATTATTGTAGAGTAAAGGAGAACTGAACTTGAATCAGCCAATATAAGTTTGACCCTCTCATCATTGAAAAAATATATAAAAAACATGGTGACCGGCAAGAATGCTGACATTCTCTATTTTATTCCCATTTCTACTCCAGGTGTTGCCATCTCTGCAAACTTCCTGGGCGAGTAATGGGGATTCGGGTGCTTCGTTTTTCTTTGGTGATCATCCTTGTGCTACTATTGGTAGCCGGGGCTTTAACCAATTTACTTCCCAATGTCAAAGAAGACAAGATGCTCACTTTGCGTAGGGAAGTAAAATCCCAGGGAAAGTCCACCCTGGATTCTTTCACTCTCATCATGCAGACTTACAATAGAACGGATCTCTTATTGAGACTTCTAAACCACTATCAGGCAGTGCCGCATCTGCACAAAATAATTGTGGTGTGGAACAATGTTGGGGAGAAGGGACCAGATGAGTTATGGAATTCTCTTGGACCTCACCCTGTTCCTGTGATCTTCAAACTACAAACCACAAACAGAATGAGAAATCGACTCCAGGCTTTTCCTGAGGTCGAAACCAATGGTAAGTTGAAGCTGGCTTCTGAGCCTGTAAGAGTTGCAGTTAACCAGGGCTAGGGGTGTGGATTTCTGACTTCCTGCCTATCTTAATGGTCTGGAGAAAAATGGAGGAATTTATTATAAGAAACCACCCTGAAAAGCTTAATGAGCAGTTTCCAAGGTCTCAAGAAGTTTCCTGGGGAGGACAGCATGTACAGCTTCATCTTACAACAATAAAAAAGAGGTTAATATTGTTAAATAAGTAAATAAGATATGCTATCATATATATCATTGTATTACAGAATGCAGTCAGAGGCCATTAAGCTTATGCTAAATATAATTTTGTCACTCTCCTCACATTTGTAACAGCTGCATGAGGTTTTAATTTGCTTAAAAGAACCTTGGCTTTATTTATTTAAAGATTCATTAGTTTCTAGCATGACGGATGATAATTACATGACAATTTTCCTTTCAGGCAGTTATAAAATCAGGTATAATTCAAATAGCTTTTTTCTACTAGACATATTGCTCCAAGATTACGTTTCTTGTTTACTAATTGAGTCAGAAAATACTTCATTCAAATTATCTACATAGATACAACTATTTTATTTTATTTCCAAACTGTTCAATATAATTTTTTTCATTTCATTTCAGCGGTATTAATGATAGACGATGACACACTCATCAGTGCCCAGGACCTTGTTTTTGCTTTCTCAGTTTGGCAGGTAATGATGCTGTATCCTTTATGAAACATGTATATGGTTTTATCTAGTGCTTAACCAGGGCAACGTTGTTTAATGTGGGGTCTACTGAAAACAATGTAGATGGTACTTATCTAAAAGAGATAAAATTGTTGTGGGCTTGTCAAGATTTATGACCTTAGTTAAGCCAACCTGGAAGTTATAGTATCTTTTATGTATACTTAATTTATATTTTGGAATATTAGGAAAAAGAACTGCAATTACCTTCCAGAGAACAATGAGGAAATAATCTGGTGCAATAAAGGCTAGAATGCAGATATATGTTTCCATAAGCCACGGACATGTGTCTCAAATGAGAACTATATTTCTGTATTAATATTATATTTAACTTTTTGAAACAGAAAGCATTTATTGCATCAACAATAATTTAATTTAATAAAATAAATTAACTCTGAACAACAGCCTGGGCTCTAGGTGTAGACTTTCCTGACATAATGGATACATAATAAAAAATGGTCTCATACAAATGGTTCTGCGACCATTGTTTAGAAATTGTGCAGTGATAACTTGGCATGTACCATGGTAGGGTTTCATTTGTTTTGTTTTTTTCCTAAATCCTAGCTTGAATAAGTAGACATAAATTGCTCACTTGTTCTCCTATTAAATATGTAATCATAATTGTTGACTTTTATAAGTCACACCACAGTTACCTAAACCCAGAACACCTGTAAAGTGATAAAACACTGTGCTACCCAATAATTTGGTCTAATTTGTGCCATAGTTACCTACTTCCATTAGCTACTTGGCATATAATATTAGATATTAGTGGTGAGTGTCTTAGTACTCTGTAGATATCAGTCTTCTAAAAGCTGCAGTTTTTAACTTCATGTGTAGTGTAGTATCATATCAGCAATTTTTTCAGCCCTGTAAATAAAGGTTTCTAGGCAAAAAGTTCTAATGTAATGCTGTGAGATTTCTATTTCAGGTTAAAAAAAATCAGTTTACCCAACATGTTAAGATAGGGGCAGGCAGAATACAAAGACTGTGATTAAATACAACAATCTAACAGAACAATAAATAAAGAGGAGATAAATATGATTTTAGGTATTATTAGTAAAAATAGTTTCAATCCACTGTGCATTGCTCCATGCAGTGAGTCATATTGGTGCCCTGCATATGTTACAATTTGAGGTCCAGAGGCAAGCAGGATCAAGTAGATGTTCATCTGAGTGAACAGATACCTGTTACCTCCATTTCAGGTGGTCTCTTTTCCTTCTCTGGCCATCTGAAATTTCTTTCATTGTATAGATTGTGTAGATGGCACTTCTCTGAAGCTTCCCGGCCTTTATCCCCTATCCCCTGACCTTCTGTTTTGCCTCCAGCAACACAGTTGTTACTCTCTCCTCCATACTCCCCTCAGATTTACCCAGCTGCATTTGCAGATGGTTCACATCATTGTAATTCCTTGTTCACCTATCTGTAATGTCCCCTCCCTAGACTGTGTGTTCTTTGGAATGATATTTAACTCAGCCTGATTTGTGTTCATTCAACAAGTGAATGAAACTCTTGATATTTTATAGGAGTGAACTAAATCTTTCAATCCCATAAGTTCTTGCCTCTTTCCTATGCTTCAGTGTTTTTCTTTTGTTGATTTTCATTTTATCTTTTTCACTCTCACCTTAATTGTATGAAGTGTTTTGCTGCCATTTGTTTTTTTCTTCAAAGATCTTAATACATCTGTCATTTATATATTCATGTATAATTTACATATTTTGAATAAAGAAATACCCAAGCTGAGAAAGGATAAAATATAACATTGGTTAAAATCAACAGTGACTTTCAAGAACATTAAAATCAACATGGAAAAACAGTAAAATCATACATATAGATCACAATTTTATATATTCCTAAGAGATTATAACATTTTTTGAAAATTGTTATATTGTATCTTGTCTCCTACAGTAAATAGCCTTCCTGCAATCAACTTTTCTTGCAGCAACTTGGAAGGACTAGAGTCATTGGTGACTAGAATTTGTTAAGATCAGATAATGTTAGAATATTTGTGGGGGTTAGAATTTTTTTTCCAGAGAGATTTGGGGTGTGATGGAATTTGACCTGTTACCTTATTAGGATACAGATTTATGAAGTTACCCGGAGTTAGATGAAATTAAGATATATATATATATATATATATATGTGTGTGTGTGTGTGTGTGTGTGTGTGTGTGTGTGTGTGTGTGTAATAAGGAAAAGTTGACTAATCAGTTTCAATCTTTCATAATAAATAGTCTTTTTCACTATGTCTGCTCTAAATAAATGTCATACTTAATTATTCTTTTCCCTCTTTTCAGCAATTCCCTGATCAAATTGTAGGATTTGTTCCTAGAAAGCATGTCTCTACTTTATCGGGTATCTATAGTTATGGAGGTTTTGAACTACAAACACCAGGGTTTGGAAATGGTGACCAGTACTCCATGGTGCTGATCGGAGCCTCATTCTTCAATAGCAAATATCTTGAACTCTTTCAGAGACAACCTGCAACTGTCCATGCTTTGATAGATGAAACTCAAAACTGTGATGATATTGCCATGAATTTTATCATTGCCAAGCACATTGGGAAGACTTCAGGAATATTTGTGAAACCTGTAAACATGGGCAATTTGGAAAAAGAAACCAATGGTGGCTATTCTGGAATGTGGCATCGAGCTGAACACTTTCTGCAGAGGTCTTATTGTATAAATAAGCTTGTTAATATCTATGATAGCATGCCCTTAAAATACTCCAACATTATGATTTCCCAGTTTGGTTTTCCATATGCCAACCATAAAAGTAAAATGTGAAAGTAAAACAAAAACAAACCTGAAAACTGCTTGGTATTTGAGTAGCTTCTCCATGCTATGTATTTTTGTTCTTAAGCAGCAACATGAACTTTTATCTATTCCAGAAGTCTCTACAGTAGAAAAAGAATATGCAGCACTTCTAGGATGTAAAATTCACATTAACTTCAAAAACCAAGAAGCTAGTCTCATCCACATAGGTCTTCTCATGAAGAATTTTCACCTAAGGTTATAATGCCTTGGTTGACAATTTTATTGTTTACATCTCGAGACTGTTTTACAATTGCTTTGATTCCTGGCATTCGCCTTAATGACCTATAGCAAGCTGTTTCCAGAATTGGAAAGTCAAGAAAGGCATTTCTCAGCTTTTTCACTAAGGTTGATTGTTTTAATTTGAAGCTTGCAATGCCTCTTTAGCAAAAGCCTGTGGTATAGGGAAAAGCCACGTGAGAAGAGAAGTTTCAATCTCATGTGAAAACAAGGAGAAGACGTGACTACCAGTGCTTCCCTATGACCCTTCCAACCAGAGTTAGCTCTGCCCAGCATGGTTTGGATGCAAAGTTAGGTGCTGTTTGTTTTTATTGCTAAGTCTGTTGTGACTGGGAGCATAAGTTTTAGTAGCTAAAAGATGTCTAGTTGTTTGCTTGATTTTTGTGAGTCTACTGCATGGATCACCCAAAAATGCAGCCTGTGTTTCTTATATGCAACTTAAATGCAGCAAGGAGTAAATGTGTTACTGTATTTTGTGACTGAATATGACTTGGAGAATGTATATTAATTCTTATATTTTACATGGAGTATGTTTAAGAAAATGTGTAAAATAACTTCTGGAAGAATGAGTAAGTAGAAACTAGCAGAAGTGAAAATCAATATCAAAAGATCTTTATTATTAAAGAATAGGTTATCTCATGGATACTAAACAGCTGTGTGTATTACACACAAATGCTTGCATTCAGAACTTGTTTCCTTTTTTTTTTTTCTTTGAATAAGATCCAAGACACTATTTATCATGGTGAAATTTCAATTACACAGATACAAGAAAAAAAAAATAAGTACTGAGTCATAGCAGAAATTCTCTAGGAAGTCCACATCAGTTCATTGTTAAGTTTGCCCACTGTGCTGTTTATCAGTGTCTGTGTCCCACCCAGTCTGTGTTAATTGCTGACAAGGGGTACTTAATTAGGCCTCCATCACTTTTTCTTCCTCCTCCTCCTCAGCGTCCTTCTCTCCCTCCACCTTCATCTCTTTACACAGTGCCTGTATACTCTCAAAGTTGCAAGTATAGTGAAATAATCATGTTAATGTGCCAACATTGATGCCATTGTGCAGTTAGTTCATTATATTTTGGGTTTTTTATTGTTTGTTTATTTGTTACACTAGAGTATGTACATGTCTTAATGTGGTCAGGTTAAAAAGTTGCTTTCCCCAACCCTGAAAGTACTTTTTTGCCTTCTGGTATTCCACTCTCAGACAAATAAAATAAACTTTAACTCTCCATGTGTTGTATGTTAATTAAGCAGATTCATGGTTTTGTGGCTGGTGTTTTTGTAAACTTCTTTATATTGTGTTATATTGCTAAGGATAAAGGAGAAATATCAGCTACCTACTCTATGAGAAAATTTCCCATTAGGAAAATATTCTCAGATTTTATTTCCCATTTTGTGTTTTTAAACTTGCCTTAAGCATAACATAAGTTAATTAGACCATGTTTTCAGTTATCAATAAGGGAAATATGAAATCAAAGTGCAGCCCAGTAGATATTACAAAGAGTCCTGTTTTGTGGCTAGACTTCTACTAACACCATCTTTCCCTGAACTGCTCCTACTCTTGCCCCACATGATCCAGGAGAGAGAGACTCAGGCTAAGCAGCGCAACACTTAATATCACATCTAGAGCATTTGCTTCCCATCAATCTTCCCAACTTTGTGCACTCTTAAATTTTATTTGTTAACATGCAAAACACTTTGCTGCAGGATTTGGAAGACTTCTCATTCATAGAATGCTGTCAAAGGGAAGGTTTGAAGACAGTATAAGCTTCAGGCAGTTTTTGAAGTGCTTTCAGAAATGCTACTCCAAGGTTTAGAGCAGGGGCAGATCTGATCCTTTCCTGGTCCCTACAGTTAACCATTTGGAAGCAACAGAAAGTTGCTCATATTTTTTCCCTTGAAAAGACCCCAGCTTTGACCCCATGGTCAAGAGTGAATAAATTGTTTGGGAGAGGGACAGTCTCTAATTGTGCATGTACCAGTACATGAATTTGAGGGGTATAAAGGGAGGGAAGGCAATACTGTGAACAGAGGAGGAATTTGAAGGGGCTGACTTAAATGGTAAGATTAGATTATTCTCTATCCCATACCAGTTTTTTTGTTCATTTATCACTAGGGGCCTCCCAACTTTGTTCTCTCTTTTCCCTATTTTTTAATCCCTCCTTCATACTTCCATTTCCTGTTTTCCCTTTTCATGAAGGCCCCTCAATGTAAAACCCAAATAGTTTCTTTAAATGTACTTAACACGGGCAAAACAAAAAGAACATTGGATATACCATGAACATATACTGAGTCCTAATTCCACTTAATTTTCTTATATGCAGAATAAGGATGAAATACCCGTCCTAAAACTGCAGGTTGCTTTAGTTTTCAAAACATATGTAAAGAACTTTACAGTGTCAAGAAAATCAAAATAGTTTTTTAAAAGTTGTCATAGAAAAAAAGCAATTTTGCCAAGAGTTCAAATTATTTTTTTTATTTTGAAGTATAGCTGTGTCAAACTAAAATTAGAGCATGAAAAGAAATAAAAATGAATATTTTATAAATATTGAAAAAAAAATTAAGGAACCCTCTGAAGCCAAGGCACAGAGGGATATTTAAATGAAGCAAATATCTAATCTGGAGATGACTCTATTTCTTTTATTTGAAAAGCAAAAGAATCAAACTCCTGGTCAGAATCTTAAAGTAGTTTTAAAAACAAATTCTGAAGAAAGAAGCCATACTTTATAGCAGTAGTTCTCAACTGGGCTGATTTTGTTCCCCCAAAGATTATCTGACAATGTTTGTAAACATTTTTGGTTCTTACAACTGGGGGATGCTACTGGCACCTAGTGAGTAGAGGCCAGGGATGCTGCCTCACCACATGTTAGCAGGTCTGCTGTTAAAGGAATAAAAAAAATGCTTGGCATTATATTACAAAATATTTGATTTATGTATCTACCTGACACTTTCTCACAATGCAAGTGTCATTCACAAAGTTTTAAAATCTCTATTGGAACAGAAAATTAAGGGGGGGGGGGATGTGTTTATATTACTGATAAGACATCTGGTACATGATTCTGTGACTCCAATCATTTTGGGTTGGATCTGGAATGTCCCCCCAAAGGCTTATATGATGAAGTCTTGGTCCCCAGTACAAGAGTGTTCAGAGGTGGGGATTTGGGGAAGTGAGTGGATCATGAGGGCTCTGACTTCATCAATGGATTAATCAATTGATGGTTTATAATTGGACTCTTTGGAAGTGATGGAAACTGTAGGAGTCCAACTGGAGGGGTGGAGGGAGCGAGTCGCTGGGGACTGGCTCTGGAAGAGTATATCTTGTTCCATTGTTCTGGAGATACACACACACACACACACACACACACACACACATCCCGTAGGTAGTTGTATCACTCACAGAATTATTTCTGATTTTTTTTTTCTCTAATCCACATGCCTCTTTGTATTTTCACATCTGAAGAAATAAACAATGCACCCTGATTTTTGGGAAGGTCATATGAATACATACATATTTCTGAAACCCTAGAGAATAATATTATATAATACACTGTATATTTTAATAATATGTCTCTAGTTAAAGAAAGTCAGAATCATTGATTGGAAATAAGCTAAATGTAAACTCTTAAGCAATTTGTGTACATTTTTGGCTTAAGTAATAAATATAAGCAACAGATAGCTAGTGAAGACAACTTATATAAGGAAAGACTGGAAAGGGAAAATCAGGAAAATTTCTAATGTCAGCTAGGTGACCAAACTATTTAAATTTGTCTGGGTCTCAATTTCCACATCTACAAAAAAGAGGGACACATTAATGATCAGTATATTTTTTTGATCAATTGCAAAATCCCATGACCCTAAATCAGAGTATTGAATTAGTAGATTTTAAAATAGCCACATTATGCTTCCTGGCAAAAAATGTTACCCTTGAGCGTAGCTCTGTTGGAGCTGGCTGCCACCCCTCCACAACCTAAGCCTGTATCCCCAGGAGCACTTTCTGAAGGTGAGTTCCAAATTAAACTCCACTATTTGTAGTGTTTTAGGACCAAAAAACATAATGACAACATACTGGAAGAGGTTACGATTTAAAAGTTATTTTATGACTTTAAGCTTCTATTTAAAGGATGCTACTGGCCATTATGAGGAATCCAAAGAGAGTTGGATTCAAGCCACTTGAATCAATTTGAGCTATGATTTGGAAATTATCATTTATAGTCCCTAATTTGTTAAACCCAGAATGCAAATACAAGTTTTGAAGAAAACACAATTTTTATGAAATTTACTTTCTTACCAGCAGATGTCAGTATGACCTAAATAACTAACATTTTAATCAGTTTTTAAATACCTACCAGTAAACTGAGTAAAAACAGTCTTAAAATAACAAAGTTTAAAACTTGTCAATGTTTTTTATTAAGAGTATCTTAAGTGGAGCTATAGAAACATCAATCTTTCAAATGTTATTTAGTTTAAATGAGTCCTGGCTCAGGGAAATCACATTACATAAACTATAATACATGTTATCATTATAAATTATGTGACAGTAGCCTTTCTTGGTGACATATAAAAGATATGAACTTAATTAAATACATAATTATAACATGTACTAAAGTATAGAGTAACATTATTTGTAAATTTCACACATCATAGACACTACAACCAAAAGAAACTCATTTAGGACCAAGTGTGGGGCCGCACACCTGTAACCCCAGTGGCCCTGGAGGCTGAGGCAGGAGGATCATGAATTCAATGCCAGCCTCAGCAACTTAAAGAGGACCTAAACAACTCAGTGAGACCCTATCTCTAAATAAAATGTAAAAATGGTCTGCAGATGTGGCTTAGAGGTTAAATGCCCTGGCATCAATACCTGGTCCAAAAAAAAAACTCATTTATCTCTGGGAGACATATATAATGCTGGGCAAAACACATTAATTCCTAATGAAAACTAAAACATCAATAGTGTACATGAGGGGGATAGTAGAGGATAGGAAAGGCAGCAGAATACAACAGACACTAGTATGGCAATATGTAAATCAATGGATGTGTAACTGATGTGATTCTGCAATCTGTATACGGGGTAAAAATGGGAGTTCATAACCCACTTGAATCAAAGTGTGAAATATGATATATCAAGAACTATGTAATGTTTTGAACAACCAACAATAAAAAATTTAAAAAAATAAAATAAAAAATAGTGTACATGATTTGTTTTCTAGAAAGTAGCTTTTTGCTGTTAGCAGAGTTTTAAATCTAATGTCAAGAACAGCACTTATTACATGCCGAACACTTACTTTCCATCATCCCCTTTAGTCTTTGCTGCAACCCTGCACCGTAGGTAGTTGTATCACTCACAGTTTGAAGATACAATAACTGATGTTCATAGATGTAAAGTGTTTATCCAATAAAAGGCTACACAGCAAGCCAAAATGATAGACTACTGATTCCAACACTCTACTCTGCTTTTCATACAATACTCCATTTCTTTGAAATTGCCCTTTCATGACTCTGCATTGAGGAGACTTCTCCTTGCTTATTTTTCACCCTCGGAGTTAAGCCACATTTTATGCCAAGTATTTCTGCAGCAACGATATGGAACACAGCTAAAAGTAGATACAAATAAGGATAAAACAGAGGAAAATCTGTAAGATCATTTTTAATAGCAAAGATGATACTTTCTTATAAAGTAAAAGGTGCATTTATTATATAATAGCAATCCCATGCCTAGATATTTATCCAGGAAATATAAAAAAATACATATTCTCACAAAAACTTGTACATGAATGTTTATCAAAACTTTATTTATAATCATCAAAAGCTGAAAATATGAAGGACATCAGCAAGATAGAACAGGACTGCCTGTCATTCATCCTTCCTACAAAAAGGGACCACAACAAAGAGTAAATGACAATATTCCAGCTGGAGTGACTGAGGAAGTACACTGGAGAGTAGCAGGAAGTGGGATAGTCCCTGTGAAGCGTGAAAACCCAAGATAGCACCACAGAAAGGAGAGAGGCACCCTGCCTATGCCCTACTCAGATTGATTCAAAGTCAAGACAGACTTGTTCTTACAGTGACCTCAATAGTCACTTGAGTCAATTTGAGCTATGATTTGGAAATTATCATTTATAGCCCCTGCAGACAACTTTACAGGAGACTCCTGCTGTCTTCACAACCCTCAAATATGTTTAGAGTTGCCCAGAGTTCATGTGGCTCTATTACCACAGAGTAGAGCTCA